TTTCCCTGTGAGGGCCAGAGCGGGGCTGAGTCAGTGTTGTATCTTGGCCCTCTGGGCCTAGAGAAAGGCAAGCCTGTGTTTGGCTACAGGATTAGGGGCTTCCCAGTCCATCTGGACACTAAGGTGCTTAAGAGCCTGTGTCCCATGTGCCTGCTTAGAGGGAAGCATTGTTTCCCCACTCCTCAATACGGCAGCCTGTCCTGGTGCTTGACTGCTGCCTAGGCCCTCCTCCATGGGCCACCCAGGAAGCCAGGGCCTGCATCCATGCCAGGGAGATGAGCAGAGGTGTAAACTGTGTGGCAAGCTGCCGGCTCTGAGGTGAAAATGAAAAGTCTTCAGGCAGTGGCGGTAGCAGGCGCGCAGGCTGGGGTGCCAGGCACAGCATACTGTCTCCACCCCACTACCTCTCACACCTTCCCCAGGTTCCCACTCAGGCCTGGACCTGCCTTCCTGGCTCCTCTGCCATTCCCTGCTTTCAGTCAGGGGCTCCCAGACTGGCCCTGGGCTGGATCTGACCCCAAGAGGGCTGTTATATCTCATTTCCATTATGTTTACTATTTGGCTGATCTGTTGTACAGAAAAATGGGCTGTGCTTGAGTTACCTTTGTGACTTAATGTCTGTGGTAGTCCCTCCATTGATTCTTTTTGGGTTTTCTGAGTATACAGTTTTCTTATCTTCAAATAATGGTGTTTTATTCATCCTTTCCAGTTCCTCACTTCTTTTGAGATCATCTATTCTAATTCCTTTGTTTCTTTCTCTCTCTCTCTTTGAGACAGTTTGCTCTGTTGCCCAGGCTAGAGTGCAGTGGTGTGATCTTGGCTCACTGCAGCCTTCATCTCCCATGTTCAAGTAATTCTACCTCAGCCTCCTGAGTAGCTGGGATCACAGGCGCCCACCACCACACCCAGCTAACTTTTGTATTTTTAGTAGAGACGGGGTTTCACCATGTTGGCGAAGCTGGTCTCAAACTCCTGACCTCAAGTGATCCACCTGCCTTAGCCTCCCAAAGTGATGGGATTATAGGCGTGAGCCACCATGCCTAGCCAAAGAGGGAAAGAGAGAGCGATAGGCCAAAAGCCTACAGCACTCGGTACTCCCAGGTAGTCTTCCATCCAAGTACTAACCACCCGACCCTGCTTAGCTTCTGAGATCAGATGAGGTCAGGCACATTCAGGGTGGTATGGCTGGAGACCCTTTATTTCATACTTGGGCAAGAGGGAAGCCCCCATTTGTCTAGCCAAGCCAATGCTCTGCGTTCTTGCCTGGGTGCTCCCTGCCACTTCCTGCTTCCTCTCTCCTCTCCTTGCAGTCCTGTCTTACTCCCTGTCTCCTTTCCTGCCATTTTCAGAGTTTTGGGCTCTCCTGGTGTGAGAGGAGAGTAGAGAGAAGGAAACGTGCTCACCAGCCCTTCTGCAGGCTCTCCCTGCTGTTGTGGCAAGGCCACCAAAGCACCAAAACAGACAGGTTTAGCTTCTGGGCCGGGGGCTTTGGGCAGCCTGGTGTGGGTGAGAGGAAAGTTTCTGGGCAGAATAATAACGTGCTACCTTCTAGCTGCAGCCTCCTGCTATGCCTCCCCCAAGCATGCACATGCCATGAAGACCAGCTGCCTGAGGGGCCTCCAGGGTCTGAGCCCCCACTTGCAGGGACCACTGTGTGCAGGACGGTGCATTTCGGTGTCTGTAATTAAAAATGAGCACGCATCACTTCACCCAGCGAGGAGACGCCACCACCTCGGGTGGGATGCAACAGCTGCTTGCTGGCAGTGCAGCTGCCTGGGTGTCCAGCCTGGCATAGAAGGCTGGTTAGGACGGGTAGCTCAGGGTGAATAGTAAGGCAAGGCCAGGGCCCCTCAGCCAGACCTCATCCCTTCTGGGCCTAGAGCTCATGTAGGAGATGTGACCCAGTCCTTGGCCCACACATTGCCTCCTCCTTTTTGCATTTGCCACCACCTAGCTCTAAGCAAACCTCCGGCCTCTGGGTAGCCTGGGAGTGGGACCCATTGTCAACTTCCATCCTGGGCCTGACCTCTTCTGTCTTCTGTTTACGCCTCACCCCTGGCTGAAGCCAGGGCACAGGGCGATGTCGTGAGTGCAAAGCACTAAATGGGGATAGTTCAGACCCTCTCTCTTACCTCTTTTCTCTCCCTGATTCAGAAAGACCTGCTCGGGAGGCACTGTGGGTCCCGTGGGAAACTTTGGCCTGGTGCATCAGTCTTGCTTTTGTTATGGGAGCCCTGAGCTGAATGGGCTAAATGCCTGCACCTTGCCCAGGAGATGACTTAGACTGAGGTGAGGTGGGAATGTGTGGTGTGTCCTCAAGGTAGCTGAGGCACTGTGGCTGCTTGTGTGAGTGGGCGAGCTTCCCTTTTTTTGCCAGCACTCCTGAGTGGGTGAGCGGGTGTTAGTCAGGTGGGGTGGTGGTAGGGAAGTGCTGGTGACTGAGGTCTCCTAGAAGTTCCTGCATCATAGGCAGTGTCCCAAGTCCCCATCTTGTTTCTGCATGTGGAAGACCCAGGGGGGATGGAAGGCCTGGAGGTATGTCTGAGGGACTGGAACTCCACATCCAGTTTCTTGCAGTCTTGGTGCTACCTTGGCATGATTCACTGACTTTTGCCTGTTAGGTGGAGAGGATGTGAACATCTGCAACTCTCCCATCTTGGAAAGAGGCTTTATAGTCTCCTTGGGTCTGTGTGTCAGAGTGAGCTGCTCTGGGCTGTGGGTTTGTCAGATGGCCAGTGGTGTCAGTGGCAGAGCATGTTCTCATGTCCTGGCAGTGCTTCCATACACTTCTGGCTGTCCTGGCTGTGGAAGAGGGTGTGCCAGGGCTAGGAGGACTCCAGGCCCACCCAGGCTCTTCACCAGCAGGACCAGCCCAGTGTGACCTTGAGCTGGTGTCCTTGGCCACTGGCAGTCTGCTCTCCAAGGGCTCCCTGGGGCTAGCTGAGGGAGAGGCAGCTGGCCTCACCTTCCTCCAATCATTTTCCAATATTTACTGGCTCATTGACATATTGCCCGGGCCATGATTCCTACCGTGCAGCAAGGACCTGAGAGCCAGCCCATGGTCACCTTCTCTTCCCTCTGAGGCTGCACCTGGTTGGGAGGGAAAGGGTTTGTCCTCTGCCTGATCACTCAGGGACAGAGCATATAGCTTGTCCTGCCCCTCACCCTCCATCCCCAGCCTTCACTAGACTCATTCTTTCTCAGTGGGCAGAGCATGGAAGGTAGAGCAGTCTCCCAGGAAGGGCCCAAGGGCAACTGCAATACCCTTCTCTGCCTGTGGGCCTGGCTTGGAAGTTTGCTCCTTTGCCTTCTTCCTGCCTCTTCTCTGCCCAAGTCTGAATTTTGGTAGGACCTGGTGCATGTGTTACAATGATTTGGCGCTGAACAGTCATGGCATTTTCATTAGCTCCATGTCTCCCTCTAGTATGGAGGATCAGAGCCCCCAGGTAACAGTGGGTAGGACCAGGCTAGTTTTGCCTCCAGGGGTCTGGAAACAGGCTCTGGAAGCTGGTGCTCCTTGTGTGGGATGCTGTGAGGAGGGAGAGCTGCACAGAGAAGGAAGGGCTGTGTGGCAGGGCCACAGTTTTCTCTTCATCCTCTGTCTCCCTTGTTCCTCTGTTCTCCCCAATGGCTTTGAGATGAAGGCGACGGCAAGGATGGAGGATGCAGTTTCCATGGCAACGGAGCTGTTCACAGCCAGGAAACTTCAGAGCGGGGCTCTCTGGAGGAGGCAGATGCACAGAGCAGCCGCAGAGCTGCCTCCTGCCTGCCAATGAGGGGGCTGGCAGAGCAGGTGGCACAGGGTGGCAGCCTGGTGCTGCCCAGCCTAGAGGAGAGGGTGGAAAGAGCAGTACTCCCTCTTATTATCTTGTTACTGCCAAGTTCCTCCGAAGATAAGCTAGGGAAGTAGCCTGAGTGTTGAGAGCGGTTGGGTTAGGGTCCCCATTGTCCCTGGAATCTCTGGGTGGACACAGGCTCTGGCCTTTGGGATAATCTTCAAAAGTCAAATATTGCTGCCTCTGGTGATGGCTACTCAGCTGCTACCTTTGGACCCTTTTCCCAGAGTGTGAGGATGTTGGTGAAGGCCATGCCCTGACTAGATTCAGGAAGCCTTTTCTTCCATCTAGCTACCGGGGAAGGACCTGGACCTTCCTCAGGGGCTTCCTTGCCCTTGGCTTCAGTAACCTGGCCCAGTTTGCTGAGTGGGTCTCAGGTTTGGCAGATGCCTGCCTCAAGTGCTGCATTGGAGGGGCCCAGATCCTGACAGCGTCTGATTCCTGACACTGTGATCTTGTTTAGCCTCCTCCTGGAGACCAGGGCTGGAGTGGGTATGTCGGTGGGTAGGGAAGCAAAGACAGCATCTGTGTGTTTAGAAATGGGAGGTGTTGGGGGCATGGACTCTTGAGATGGAGAAAGCCCAGAGGGCACCCAGGTTGGCAAAGAAGATTTGACTTCAGCTATTAAAAATAATGACTTTCCTTCACTGACCTTGGAATCATGAGGGCTGGAGTGTTCTACCTTGACGTTGAGCACATGGAGACTTGGGATGAAAGGCTTTGCCTAGATGGCTCATGGAGTTAGAGGCTGAGCCGCAACCAGACCTGGGCCAGGCCAACCACCTCCTGTATGGCCTCCTAGATGCATCCTCCCTCCAGCTGGCTGCTGAGGGTCCTAGTTACATAGACCTTTCAGGCTCCTTCTGTTTCCCTTTATCATCTGTAGGCTTGTGTTTAACCCTTCTTTGCTTGTTTGCTTTAGTTGAAGGAGGTTCCTCAGCCCTGGGGTTGACCAGGCAGGCAGACAAGTGGAGTCCTGGAGTGGTTTCTCTCTGCAAGGCAGTTAAGTCTCTCATTACTGCTAAGTGGAAGGCTCATTTCAGAGCTGTGGTGAGAGCGGGGCAGGTGCTGTAAACAGCCGTGTTGTGAAGGTTGGCGGTGTGAGCAGTGACGGGGCAGGGGCCTTGCAGTCACCTTAGTGGGGATTGTGTGCTCCACCCATTGCAGGAAAGGCGGGGGCGGGCTCTGAGCGAGAGGCACTTGACCCCTGTTCTGGCTGTCCCTGCCTGCCTCAGGCATGTCTGTGCCCCTCCATATACATTGGGGGATGGGAAGCATTGGATTCTATGTCTAGGCAGAGGGAGGTGAAGTGCCTGTTGAACTTGGGGCCCACTGGCTGGCTGCTCCGCCTCGCGCGGGGCGTCTCCCGCCACGTGCCGGGACCGGGGTCCGGTGAAAAGTGCTCCTAGTCCTGGGAAACGGGGTGCTGCCGGAGAGGCGGCCGCCCCCTCGCCCGTCACGCAACGCACGTTCGTGGGGAACCTGGCGCTAAACCATTCGTAGATGACCTGCTTCTGGGTCGGGGTTTCGAACGTAGCAGAGCAGCTCCCTCGCTGCGATATATTTAAAATCAGCCCTCGACACAAAGGTTTGTCCGCGTGAGCAGGGGCCTGGCGGAGCGGGCCTGTTCCATCCACCCTTCCGTCTCCCTCGCGGCCTCATTCCCCGTGGCCCAGGGGTTGGCAGGGGGCGGCCACTCGGGTTCCAGTCCTCTCCCGTCCCCGCGGCCGGGGTCAGGCAGGTGGGTCCGGCGCGGCCGCCCTTCCAAAAAAAAAAAAAAGAAACTTGGGGCCCAAAAGGTGGTACATCAGCCCATTGGGTAATGTCCTGTGCTAGATCTACTTGTCCTGCCTGCCCTTTGAGTCTAGGGCCTCCCTCCTCCCCATCAGCGGAAACCCTGAGCCCACAGGTGAGGAGGTATGGGAGCTACACCTGACAGTCTCAGAGGTTTGACATAGACTAGCAGGGGAATAAATGGGAGTGGAAGTGGGGTTTAGCTGGCCTTGACCCCTGTCCAGGGTCTGTAGAGGCATGTCTGCAAGAGCAGGAGATGGAGGCCTAAGGATTGGGGGTACTGGCCTTCTGATATCTGTGGATCAGTCAGCATTGTCCAGGGTAGACAAAGGTCAGGGCCAGGGGGTCCTGGGATGGAAAGTCTGGCAGGTGAGAATACCTTGGCTTGGGCACGTGGGGTCCCTATCCTGGGGGTCGTCCAGGGGTGCCAAGCTTCATGGCTCTGTGAGACCAGTGCCTTCTGGAACAGCCTTTTGGTCTCAGTTGTACACATAGGAGAGCAGTGCCAGGCTCCTGGGTTCTTTTATCACCTGCCCTAGGGTGTCATCCTGGGTCTTAAGACTATTATTGCACTCTGGAGTCTGGGGCCCTGCTGTTAGGGTGCTCTATGTATGCCTCCCTCAGCAGGGCTTTGGAACTTGGAAGAGATTGAGAGGCAGAGTCAGCCCCTGGGACAGAATAGGTAATAGCCAGTTCCGGGGGCCACCCAAGGACAAGTGAGTCAGGGGCCCTGTAGGGCTCATTCTGCCTTTTGCAACTTTCTAACTAGGAGTGGAAGCTGTGTGCCCATCCTCGGCTGGAGATTTACCAGCAAGACCAGATCCATTTCATGTGCCCACTGGCACGGCAGGGAGATTTCTATGTTCCTGAGGCGAAGGAGACAGAGCAGAAATGGCGGGGGCTTGCAGAGGCCATTGATGCCCAGGTGGATGGCACAGGTACGGAAGGTGGGGTATGAGTGTGGGGCCCTCCTGGAAGTCTTCACTTCCAGATTTCAGGGGCTTGGTTGAGGAGGATCCTTCCTCTCTGGGTTGCACTGTGGGTGTCAGTCTATGCTTGGCAGAGGGAGGAAGCAGACCCACCTACCTGAGGACCCATGTGGAGTTTCCTGTTCCCAGACATGTGGATCTACATAGATGTGGATTCACACACATTACCTCCTGGCAACACAGATACAAAGACCCTGCCCGGATTCCTTCCAGATGCAGCAGGAGTACGCTTGGAAACAAAGATCACAGATAGCTCAGTGCTCATGGGAGGGGGCTGAGGCTGCTCAGGAAAGGAGTCCCTTGGGTGGGGCTCAGCAGGAAGTAAGATTGGCACTGAATCTGGAAGGTAAGGAGGGGAGCAAAGAGTTCTCTTGTCTCTCAGTATGGGCCCCCGCCCAGAGCCAGCTGCTTTTTCCCTGCCAGGGAGCAACCAGGGAGTATGCAGAGGGGAGCCAGGAGATCAGTCCCTGGACCTTCCTCCAGAGCCAGCCTACACTCCTGCTGGCAGCCTCAAGGTTCCAGGTCCAGGTTGCTCAACTCTCTGCAATGATCTCTGTGACCCTGGGCTGTCCCAGGCACAAAGAGGTCTGCTGGTTACATCCCAGATGGTCCCAGGGGACCTCATAACTTTGGCCAACCATGTGGAGTCCATGACTTCTAGGAGTGGTACAGGCTCTGGGTAGAGGAACTGTCCCTCTTCTCTCCATGACTCCTAGGATTGGTACAGGCTCTGGGTAGAGGAACTGTCCCTCTTCTCTCCATGACTCCTAGGAGTGGTACAGGCTCTGGGTAGAGGAACTGTCCCTCTTCTCTCCATGACTCCTAGGAGTGGTACAGGCTCTGGGTAGAGGAACTGTCCCTCTTCTCTCCATGACTCCTAGGAGTGGTACAGGGCTCTGGGTAGAGGAACTGTCCCTCTTCTCTCCATGACTCCTAGGAGTGGTACAAGCTCTGGGTAGAGGAACTGTCCCTCTTCTCCTCCTTCTTTAGCAGACGTTCTGCCCATCCAGTCTTCTGCAGTCAAGGTCACCCTAGGGAGACGTGTCAGCTGGGGCTGGGCAGGAGGGTACTGGGAGCAGTCTCTACTCCCTAGGGGCCTGTGTCCAACACAGTTAACTTCATCTGCCACTTAATTACCTCCATGGGGTACAGCTTCCTTCTGCCTGGTAGTGCCCGGCAGACACTCTTCAGAGCCCCCACTGTGGGCACAGGACATGGCACAAGGTCAGCAGGCCCAGGCAGCCTCCAGGGCAGGAAGACAGCGTATTCACTTTCCTGTGACCTCCCGCTGCTGCCTGTCTCCCCCTCCTTGACCCACCCACCCGGCTTCCTTCCCTCCCAAACACTGCCTGCCAGGGGCATTGAAGGACTGCTTGGCATCCACTACAGCTGGCTGCAGCCGCAGTTCCCACATTCCCCAGCTCCTCAGCCTATTTTCCTCCACTCCAGCCCCTCACCCACTCCCTGGTGTTGAGGCCAAGGGGTCTGCCCACTTCTCACAGGGCCCATCCTGACACTCCAGGAGGACTCTGGGTGTTTGCCTGCCAGGTGCATGCCATTGACACAGCAGTTGGTGGTGGATGTATGGAGGGTGTCTGACTGCCCAAGGATTGGCCTGTTCCTGCCTGCCTCCCTGCTGTGGCCTCAGCTTGGAGGTGAAAGGGGGTGATTAGCTGCCTTGTGCCTGTTATTACATTGATGTATTATTTAGCTCCAGAGAGGCGATGAATATTTGATCGTCTTGCACTGGCTATGGGCAGAGCGGGAGGGAGGATTGGGGTGAAGGGGGTGGCTTCACATCCCCTGCCCCAGCAGCCATGGGGATTTAGGTAGGGCCCTGCCTTACCTGGTACCTTCTCCCTAGGGTTGCAGGCATGAGACTCTGGAGCCTCATCCTGTGTAGATCTTGGTGGGGCTATAGGGATGCCACTTCCCTGCATTGCACTCTTTTTTTTTTTTTTTAATTCTGAGGCAAGGTCTGGCTCTATTGCGCAGGCTGGAGTGGTGCAGTGGCGAGATCTCAGCTCACTGCAACCTTTGCCTCTCAGGCTTAAGCTGTCCTCCCACCTCAGCCTCCTGAGTAGTTGCGACAACAGGCGTACACCACCACGCCTGGCTAATTTTTATATTTTTTGTAGAGATGGTGTTTTGCCATATTGCCCAGTCTGGCCTTGAACTTAGCTCAAATGATCCTCCTGCCTCAGCCTCCCGAAGTGTTGGGATTACAGGCATGAGCCACCATGCCCAGCTGGATTCCTTTTTTAAATGGCATTTTGCTCCTTCTCTCAGGCTGGAGTGAAGTGGCATAATCTCGGCTCACTGCAACTTCAGCCTCCTGGGTTCAAGTGATTCTCCTGCCTCAGCTTCCTGAGTAGCTGGGATTATAGGCACCTGTCACCACACCTGACTATTTTTTGAATTTTTAGTAGAGGCAGGGTTTCTGCATGTTGGCCAGGCTGATCTCAGACTCCTGACCTCAGGTGATCAACCTGCCTCAGCCTCCCAAAGTGCTAGGATTGCAGGTGTGAGCCACTGCGCTGGCCTCTGGCTGGATTCCCTTGCTTGAAGAGTATATATGTCCCCAGGGGCTGTCTTCATCTCAGCAGGCTGTACTGGCTGGAAAGAGGCACTTCTAGGCTCCTTCCTCTGAATACTCCTAGCCTAGGAGCTGGGTGGTAGGAGGTAGCATGCTGGGAAACAGGCACATTTCTGTACCTGGGGTCCCAAGAGAGCCATTGGACAGGTGAGCAGACAGAACATACAGTTTAGTAGGGCCAGGGAGAAACTGTCTCCCTCCTTTGCTCTTTTCAGGCCTGTAGTCCCTGGGGCACTGATCATCATTTAAAGAGCAGTGAGGGCCTGGGATCCTGCCCCCTGCTCAGAAGAAACTACCCCAAATCCCCCACCACCTCACTCACAGGCCTCTGCCCTGGGAACCACACCTGGGGCCTTAGCAAGAGCTGGGCTTCCACGGCTGACCTCATCTTTGCCAGTAGTGCCCAGAGGGCATATTCTGGGGGCTGAGCGGGTGGTGGGGATAGGGAGAGACTCCAAATTCCCCCACCTCCTAATTCTCCCACCCACAACCTAGGCCCCAGCTGAGGCTCAAGGAAAGCCCTAGGCTGAGTCCAAGTGCCAAGCAGACCCCAACTGCGCCTGGCTTGGCTCTATCACTATGGAGACAGCAGCTGGGGAAGCTGGCCCACCCCTCACCTTCTGTGATGTTTGACGCTTGCCCCTCTCCCTCTCACACAGGAAGGGTAGCAGATCCTCTTTCTCCCAGTCTGGATTCCTGCACACACGGGCCTGAGCCCTGTGTTCCTCCTTGCCACCCCGACCTGCTTTCTGTGCCTCTGATCCAGGGAGATGAACCCAGGGGTTGCTCCTGAACAGGACAGATGAAGAGGCTCCTTACTTGGAGGATGTATTGTGGGTGGAAGGAGCAGGTTAGAAGGGGTTTGGGCCACCAGCCTGGCTCAGCACTGGTTTGGGGCACCCCACCCACCAACAGAGTGCTCTCATGGTCCCCTTTTGCTATCTTGTGTCTCAGGAAGCCCCAGTCATTGAGGGTGGGTGGGTAAGGGTTTCTCAGAGTCGAACCAGGCATAGGGGGAGAAATCTCTTAACCTGTTTCATCCCAGCACCCTCCTCCTTGCAGCTGGTTGAGTGTTTCTCAGGCCTTCTTTATCCTACTGGCACTTCAGCTCCCTCCTCAAGTGGGGACTTGGGTGTGGGCCAGAGGCAGGGGCCTGCTGACTCCCTGGATGCTGCTCCTGGGAGCTCTGCATGGGGAAGGGCGGGAGAGAGGCCTCCTGCTGCATTCTGCAGTCCTCATGCCCTGTGGGCGATGTTGTGCAGTTGGCCCTGGACACATCTCTCTCCAAGCTTGAAATGGGGGTGGGGGAGGTGGAGGGGACACTACTTGGGTCTCTTTATTCTACTTCAGCTCCTCACCTCAGGGCTGAGTGGCCTTTAATAAATGTGGGGTGAGGGCAGGCTTTGTGGAAGTATAGGGAGCTGAGGCTAATTCAGGGTGGGGAGAGGAGTGCACAGCTGCCTGCTTTCTCCCTCCTTCCTTCCCTCCTTCCTTCCCTGTCTCACTTGCCACTCTTTCCCTCTGCCCTGTCTGTGTAGCCCCAGTCAGGGCAGAGGGCAGAGGGCAGCAGGAACGAGCCCCCTGAGCCAGGAGGCTGCATTATTCATGAGTGTGCTGTGTGTGCTGAGTTGCCTCTCCCTGGACGAGGGGGTGGGGTGGTCCTGGCTAACCTGTGCTCCCTTTTCCTGGCCACAGGAGCTGACATGATGAGTGACACGATGAGTTCTGTAAGCTTGGAGGTGAGCCCTGGCAGCCGGGAGACTTCAATTGCCACACTGTCACCGGGGGCGAGCAGCCGTGGCTGGGATGATGGTGACACCCGCAGTGAGCACAGTTACAGCGAGTCAGGCGCCAGCGGCTCCTCTTTTGAGGAGCTGGACCTGGAGGGTGAGGGGCTCTTGGGGGAGCCACAGCTGGACCCTGAGACTGAGCCCCTGGGGACTACCAAGTGGCCCTGGCAGCCCAGTACCCCTGAGAAGGGCAAGGAGTAATCTGTGGCCTGCACCCTCCTGCAGTGCCATTGCTGAGGAACTGAGCACTCTCCAGCACTCTCCAGCCCTCTTCCTCCTTCTCCTGGGGGAGGAGGGTTTCCTGAGGGACCTGACTTCCCCTGTACCAGGCCTCTTGCTAAGCCTTCTCCTAACTGCTCTTTTGGCTCCCAGGGCCAAAGAAGTCAGGGACTGTTTTCTGCACCAGCCCCCAGGGCTGCTGCCCCTGTTGTGTCTTTTTTTCAGACTCACATTGGAGCTTCCAGGACCCAGAGTAAAGCCAATGATTTACTTGTTTAACCTAGATTTGGATTGTGTATTTGTTTGTTAGTTCTGCCTTGGTGGGCAGGGGGGGTCCCCGTACAGATAGGCTGGGATTGGGCAGGAGCCTCCCCTCCCCAGGACAAGGAATGGAGGGAACATGGCAGGTACCCTGGGTGTTAGAAATCCTCCATGTCCTGCTTCGTGACCCCAGTGGTCAACTACCCCTCAATTGCAGCTGCCAGAGAGCAAGCGGAGCTGGCTTGTGGGAGAGCTGAGCACGGGGCACCCTCCAGAACTCAGGAGTGGGGAGCTCACAGCCTGTCTTCGTCTGCCTCCAGGGATGCCTCTCTGTCTGTGGCTCTAGTGTGCCTGCACGTGGTACCTCCCTAGCAGGCAAGGCTGTCTCATTGTGCCTGCCAGTGCCTGTGTACCTGTATGCGTGTGCACCCATGCTCATGCATTTGTCTCTGTAACCATGGATGGGGCTGCTTGGGTGAAGCTGTGCCCAGGTGAGCATCAGGGTGTGCTTGTAGCTGAGCATGGCTGTGTCTCTGGGGCTGACTGTGCTTTGTGTCTGTGTATGGTTGAATTATAGGAGCATGTGAGGCTGGCTAACAGCATCTCTGTGGGGGCTTTGTCCATATACAGCTGTGTGTGGCGGTGCCTGTACAGCTGTGTGTATGGTGATGTTCATGATGTTCATGTAAAAGCTATGTGTTTTGCTATGTGTCTGCGTATAAAGGCCATGGCTCTGTGCAGCTGTGTATCCATGATTATGGCTGTGCACGTGTGGCCATGTCTTGGTCTACAGCTATCTGTGGTATGTCTATGTGAGCAGCTGCATATATGTGGCTGTGTCCACATGCGCAGTGGTGGTGTAGGCATGTTCACAGGGGCAAGGATTTGCCCATTTGTATTATGGCTGTTTGCAAGTATAGCTGTGTGTGGTTGCATGTTCATGTGTGCTATATATGTGGCTATGTATACATGTACAGCTGTGTGTAAGGCTGGGTGTTACGTCCTCATCTGTGTGCACAGCTGGGAGTGGTGGCTGTCTAGCTGTGTGTAACTGCATGTCCAGGTGCTGTGATTGTGCAGCTTGTTTGCTGCAGGCCACATCATGGGATTTTTGGGCTGGTGCTGTACATAGCCATATCTGTGTATACAGCCCCATGCCTTTTGTGAGGCTGATGTGTTGAGCAGGCTGGGAGTGTGGCTAGTGGGAGTGTGGCTGGGAGGAGTGTCTGACTCCTTACCTCAGCACCCTCCTGCTGTCAACCCCTCCTCTCCAGAGGCCTGGCCCATCGCTCACCTACCCCAGGGAGTGGTTGCTCTGAGGCAGCCAGAGAGGGTGAGAGCAGCTGGTGGCAGAGTTGGAGGTGGAAGACAGCATGTCTGTCTCCCGCTACCACCTTGTCTCCTGTTAGTGATGGGGCTTGTGTTTATTTGGGTTTGATGTGTCTGTTTTGTTTCAAAACTGTATTCTTTTCACAGCAGTGGGACACCGGGTTTCTGTGTCCAGGGAAAAGGCTTGTCCTTGGTGATCATCCCTGCCCCCCCTACAGACTGCCACTTGCATATGTGGGGGTGTGTCCCTGAGGGCTGGGCTTGGCATGTTCTTTATCATGTATCTGAGCTGGCCTTGCTTCCACCGACATCTGTGGAGGAAAGGGCAGTGTCAGGGGAATGTGTGTAGGGATGCCATGCCCCTTGGCACTTGTTAGTATGTGTACATGTTAGGGCAGATAGCACAGGCTCTTTAATCCCCATTCCTTCAGCACAGTCTGGCACTACAGCTTACCCACTACCCTCTAACCAGGGTGTCCTTCCCCATACTGCTGTGGGAGGGAAGAGTCAAGAGCATCTTCTCAGAGCTGTCCTCCCTCTGCTTGGGCTCCAGCTTTCACTCCCTCCTACGCAGCAGCCAGTTCCAGAAGTCTTTCCCCAGGCCCCTCCCCTTCCAAATCCCCCTGCCATCCATAACACTCCCTAAGGGTTGACCCTAGTACTTGGTTCTGCAGGTTGCTATCTCCTTGCTTAAATACCCTTTTTACATGGGAGTAAAAGGTGGCAGGTTTAAAGGGCATCTGCAGGAAGAAAGGGGACCCCCCACTCTCCTCTGACCTCCCCTTTCCCCAATCTTTTCCTCCTAATGAGGCTCCAGCTCAGGCTCCAGCTCTCAGAAGGGGCTGAGGACACATGCCACCAGCTCAGGCCTGGGATGTAGATCCAGCTGGTCATTGGGTGGGGGGAATAGACTCCACCTGTTTCCCACGTGCCCATTTACCTGTTCCCCAGAGGTACCCCTTGACGCTAGGGCCAGCTCCTCCACTCTGCAGTAGCACTATGTGCACCTGTTGGGGCGCAGTGACCTTCCTCACACCTTGCCCCATGGCATTCCCCCTTCCCCCACCTGTACTCTCCAGGTGGTAGTCTGATAATGGGGCGGAGTGGGCCACCAAGCACCTGCTCCAGCACAGAGGGAGAGCGCTCGGAGATTCAGCACCAGGATGTGGACAGCTCCAGACCCAGAGGTCCCAAGAAGAGCTGGAGCGTGGAGGGTCCAGAGGCTGGCGGAGGCAGGGTTGGGAGCTGGAGACCTGGAGTCAGAGTAGGGAAGAACGGAGGAGGGGCTGGGGGCGGGCCGGGGCCGGGGCCGGGGCCGGGGGGGGGGCGGGCCGCGATTGAAAGCGGCGGGGCGAGCGAGCGGGCGGAGAGTGCAGAGTCAGCTAGCAAGCGAGCGAGCGGGAGCCAGAGCCCCGCGTCCCCCGCCCGCTCCACTCCGATTCTCTCCGCGCCAGAGCCGAGCGCACCAGGTAGGGTGAGCCGGTGGTGCCGCTACCGCTGCCAACCTTTTTGGCCCTGACCTCACGTCCCAGGGCCCTGCAGGCCCTTGAGTTGTGGGGCGCCCACCCCGGGATGTCCAGACAACGCTCCCTGGGAGCTCCGGGAAGCGGGAAGACAGCCCTGGGCGTCCCGCCTTTCTTCCCCAGAAAACGCACGCTCGGAATAGCGCTTCCCCGTTCCTCCTGCTCCAACGTCCTCTGGTCCTTCTTTCTGTCTGTGCCTCCGTCTTTGTCTCAACCTCTCAGGCTCGTTCTCTCCCTGCCCAGATTTTGTGGCCCAGGTCCCTGCCTGCCTGACTCCGCGTTTCTGTCCCTTTCCTTCCTCTGAGCTTCCGTCTGGGCCTCCCCTGTGGGAGGCTTGCGACTTGACCAGTTTTGGCCTCAGCCCCCACCTGGGTCCCTGTCCCCATCTGCGCTGGTCTTCCTTCCTGCTTCTCCTTCGCCTGCCTGTGTGAGCTGCTTCTTTCCTGATCCCCAGAGGAGCCCAGTGCCCCTGCCCTGGGAGCTGAGGGAGCAAAGTGAGGAGCCTCAGCCTCTGTGGCCAGCACATGGGGTCCTTGAATTAGTTGCTGCCCTTCTTCAAACTCAGTTTCCTTTCCTGTTCTGAGGAAAGAGGTGTAGCCCTCTCCCAGCCTTTCCAAGCCTGTGTGATTGTGAGAGCCTTTGTGGGGTGTGTTTGGGAAGGCAGTTGGAGTGCACATGATAGGCTGCAGTGGGGAAGAGATAGGGAGGGGGTTTCTGAGGGTCATGGCTAGGGTGGGCAGGTCCCTGAAGCTGAGGATGGGGAGATTGGAAATGGTGACTTTCTCTGCTGGGTTTGGAGTGAAGAGAAAACAAAGGCACAAAGTCTCAGACAGCATTCTACATAGAGCTAGGGAGTCCCACACTCTCACCCTCAGCACTGTTTGGAGACTCTATCCCCCAACTCTGACACACACGCTGCTTGCCTTGTTGACTTATGACCTTTGACCACTTGGGTACCCTCCCTGGGGCCAGCCTTTCTACGTTGCTGTCTCATTCCCAGGGCTTAGGGTCTCTATCCCTTCCTCAGTTAGGACACTGTGGGGATGGCTTTTTAAGAACCAAAGGCTAGGATTCTTGGGTGTTCACATAGGCTCGTCTCCCCATGGGTTGGAGACTGTCCCTTAGAGATTCTTCCCTGATGGGTCCTTTATTCTGGAAATCCAAGGCTCAGGATGGAGACCTCTGAGTTTGTAACTCTGACATAGACTGTTCCAAAGGTATTGGCCTCGTGATCCTGGGAAGTTTGTGCTGGTCTTGGACACCCTTTGATTTACAGAGGGGTGAGCATTGGCTGGGGTCTCCTGTCATCTGCCTGGGCCTTCACTCTTTGCATCCCTCCCCACTGCTGGTTTTGGTAGGGGACTAGGCCCCATCTCTTGCCCAGCTGAGACCAGGGCTGAGAGACAGGCCCGGGGAGTCCCAAGACCTTCTCAGCCTAGTTAATGAAACCACCCTGTCCCTGGCTCCTGAGTACCTAGGAAAGGCAATTGGGGGGAGGTGGAGTCAGAAGGGGCAGCTGCTCTCAGGTTCCACTTTTCCTGGTCTGTTTGTCTATGTTTCTATCTCTGTAGGAGCTGGGTCCCCTCTCATCTCTCTTCTTGTCTGTCCTTTCCTGGTCCCTGTTTCCTCCGCTCTTTGCCTTTGCTGCCTCTAATCTCATCCCCCCTGGAGATCCAGGTCTGCTGGACCCATCCATCCCCTCTGGGGCCATGGGATCGCTGCTTGGGCTCCTGGCACTGCTGCGGCTGTGGGGTGCTGTGGCTGAGGGCCCAGCCAAGAAGGTGCTGACCATGGAGGGAGACTTGGTGCTGGGTGGGCTGTTCCCAGTGCACCAGAAGGGTGGCCCGGCTGAGGACTGCGGTCCTGTCAATGAGCACCGTGGCATCCAGCGCCTGGAGGCCATGCTTTTTGCACTGGACCACATCAACCATGACCCGCACCTGCTGCCTGGCGTGCGCCTGGGTGCGCATATCCTCGACAGTTGCTCCAAGGACACACACGCCCTGGAGCAGGCACTGGACTTTGTGCGTGCCTCACTTAGCCGTGGTGTTGATGGCTCACGCCACATCTGCCCCGATGGCTCTTACGCCACCCATGGTGATGCTCCTACTGCCATCACTGGTGTGATTGGCGGCTCCTACAGTGATGTCTCCATCCAGGTATGTGGAGGTCCCCCAAGTGGGGGCTAGGGAGGGAGGCCAGAGGTGGTGACCCAGAATTCCTGCTGAAAAGGGATTCAGGGCTGCTGTGCATTGGAAGGGAAACTAGAAGCTTCCTTGCAGTAGCTTTTACAGAAGCTAAGAAAGTGCCCCAATCACATAATGGCAGTTGATTTTTAGAGACTGCAAGAGAAGAACATCTTACTCCCACTCCCACTACACACACACACACACACACACCCTTATCCTTGATGTTAAACAGCCCTGAAGGGCCTTATAGCCAGGTCTCTGGAGTCAGGCTTCTGGGTTTGAATCCTGGCTTTCCCAGTTACTAACTGCCTGACCCTGGGCATGTTATTTCTCTTTTCCATGTCATAGTTCCTTCCTTATGAAATCAGATTCACAACACTTTTTTTTTTTGAGACAGAGTATCACTGTCTCCCAGGTTGGAGTGCAATGGCGTGATCTTGGCTCACTGCAACCTCTGCCTCCTGGGTTCAAGTGATTCTCCTGCCTCGGCTTGCCAAATAGCTGGGATTATAGGCAAATGCCACCACGCCCAGCTAATTTTTGTATTTTTAGTAGAGAGGGGGTTTCACCATGTTGGTCAGGCTGGTCTCAAATTCCTGACTCCAGGTGATCTACCCACTCAGCCTCCTAAAGTGCTGGGATTACAGGCATGTGCCATTGTGCCTGGCCCGAAACGCTTTCTACTTTTAGGTTTACCACCGAAATTTAATGAGTTGATCCGTGCCCAATATGTATCAGGGGGCCTGGCAAGTCATAAGGGCACAGTTGATATTAGCTGCTATTATTTTTAACTCATTTTATAGATGAGGAAACCGAGGCTCAGAGAGAGAGAGAGGTGGGGCCACATTCAAGGCACTGGTGGAGGGGAGCTGTGGAATCAGCTCTGGGCCAAGGGCCTCTCCTGGTTTGTCAAATCATCTCTGCCTGAATGGGAGAAGGGTGGCCAGATAGAAGCCAGGAGTGGCCAGAGGAGAAATTCAGGGTAGGGGAGTCAGGAGGAAGATAAACAGAATGTGTGTCGGGGGAGGGTACTGGAGAGTCTTCAGGGGCACAGGATTTGAGGGTGTGGGAAGGGTGGGGAGCCAGCTCCCCTGCCCTCTGCCTCCTACTCTCCCACAGGTACCAGAAGAGGGTGCCCTGTGGCTCAGCTTCAGCAGAGGCTGCTGGCCCCACTGGCACCCCTCTGCTGCTCCCAGGGCTGTGCCCAGCTCTGATCCTCTTACTCTCTGACTGGGTCCTCGCTCTCACTCAGATTCCCACTTGCCAAGTGCCCAGCACAGGCTGCTGGAAGATGTGGCTGGAGCTAGAATCAGGGCTGGGGGACATAAGGTAGGCCTTGGCTGGGCCTCAGCTTCCTTTAGGAGAGTGACTGATGCCATTGCCGTCATGGAGAGGGACAGGCCCCCTGTCCTGCAACAGTTGTTCAGGAGAAATGGAGCAGAAGGAGGAATCAGAATCCTGGAGTCAGCTTCTGGCCTGGGGTTGGGGAGGCCTGGTGGCTCCATCCACTGCTGGGAGTAGATTATCTGTCCTGCTAGTCCCAGTCACCGGAGATGGCTAGGTAGCAGCCTGGGAAGATGTGGTTATGCTAGCATCTACATCTGCAGCTCTGGGTGGGGGCAGGGATGAGTGGGTGGCCTCCTACCTACTGCTGTCTTCCAGGGCCTCTGCTGATGTCTTTTCCACAGACCTCTTTAGGGCCCATGCATTTATCTCCAGGAGTCCAGTTATCTCCTTGCCATCCTGAGCAGCCTGCCTCCTGGAGCAGGGCCCATGCCTCTGCAGCGGTCTGCTTCTCCCTTGTCCTGATCAACACAAGGCTAGCCCGTCACCCATAGGCTGCACCTGCCTGTTAATATTTCCCCTCATGACTACTCTCCTCTCTTGCCCATGTCCCTATCATCTTCCCTTTGCCAGGCACTGTGGCCTCCCACGCATGATCATTTTTATCCTCTCAGCAGCCTTATAGGGCAGGGATATGAAACTGAGGCTCAGGGAGATTTGCCAACTCCAGGGGCCCAAAGGTAGAACATGTGGGGTGGGGGGAGACGTTGAGCCCTAGACTGTCAGAGCCATAGCCTGTATCCAGTTGCAACACAGGACTCATCCCTGTGCCATAGAGTCTGGGCCATGCTCTGCTTTCACCTGCCCACCCTCTACCAGGCCCTTGGCTAGATCCCACTCCTGTGGGACCTGAGGGTGGGCAATGGGGTGCCGGGCAGTCAGTGGTAGATCAGGAACCTTGTTTATTTAAGACTCGGGTATCCAGTGGAGACCAAGCCTTGGACTATTAGGGTTATGGGACCCTGAGATCTGGGTCTTTCTTCTTAGGGGAACCTTTTTCTTCTTTCTGTATCATTCCATCAGATTGATTCTGGGGAAGCACTACCTACCCTCAAATAGGTAGAGAGCAGAGGAGCCCTGAGCAGCCAGACACCATCTCATGCCTCCCTCTGCCCCAGCGTAGACAGGTGCCAATCTCCTTCCACCCAGGCCTTCCCTCAGCCCGCCTGCCATGTGTTTAAAAGGGGTTGGCAGAGGGGATCAGGTGTGGCTCATGACCCTGGTGTCTCAGCCCTTCGGAAGAGAGAAAAAACTCCCTGCCCCAGAAAGAAGACTGTCAAGTTAGGGTGCAGCCTGTAGAGAGGGAGCCCTTAGGGCTGAGCCTGCAGACACTTGACACAAGACCTGCTAGCTGTGTGGGGTGCACCTGTCTCTTGCGTTCAATCCAACCTCCGATCTTTGCCTTCTCTACTCCTGCCCCAGGTGGCCAACCTCTTACGGCTATTTCAGATCCCGCAGATCAGCTACGCCTCCACCAGTGCCAGGCTGAGTGACAAGTCACGCTATGACTACTTTGCCCGCACAGTGCCCCCTGACTTCTTCCAAGCCAAGGCCATGGCTGAGATTCTCCGCTTCTTCAACTGGACCTATGTGTCCACTGTGGCATCTGAGGGTGACTATGGCGAGACAGGCATTGAGGCCTTTGAGCTAGAGGCTCGTGCCCGCAACATCTGCGTGGCCACCTTGGAGAAAGTGGGCCGTGCCATGAGCCGTGCGGCCTTTGAGGGTGTGGTGCGAGCCCTGTTGCAGAAGCCCAGTGCCCACGTGGCTGTCCTGTTCACCTGTTCTGAGGATGCCCGGGAGCTGCTTGCTGCCAGCCAGCGCCTCAATGCCAGCTTCACCTGGGTGGCCAGTGATGGCTGGGGGGCCCTGGAGAGCATGGTGGCCGGCAGTGAGAGGGCTGCCGAGGGTGCCATCACCATCGAGCTGGCCTCCTACCCCATCAGTGACTTGGCCTCCTACTTCCAGAGCCTGGACCCTTGGAACAACAGCCGGAACCCCTGGTTCCGCGAATTCTGGGAGCAAAGGTTCCGCTGCAGCTTCCGGCAGCCAGACTGTGCAGCCCACTCTCTACGGGCAGTGCCCTTTGAGCAGGAGTCCAAGATCATGTTTGTGGTCAATGCAGTGTACGCCATGGCCCATGCACTGCACAACATGCACCGTGCCCTCTGCCCCAACACCACCTGGCTCTGTGACGCCATGCGGCCAGTCAATGGGCGCCGCCTCTACAAGGACTTTGTGCTCAACGTCAAGTTTGATGGTAATGGTGCTGGCCAGTGTCCACTGGTCTGCTGGCTGGCAGAGGATGAGGGGAAGCAGGTCTTCAGGTTCCATTCCTTTGCTAAGGAAACAGTATAGTGAAAGTAAAGGACTCACCCAGAGGCAGCTGGCATCAGAGCCAGAGCAAGGATGCTAGGCAGAGAAGACTCCAACTGCAGCAGGGGCTGAGGGTTCACTGTCTTCCAGAGTAGACCTCTGGCCTGGTCCTGCCATTTTGAGGGTCTCTGGCTCCTCCCTGGGCCTTGCCTTCTACCTTCTGTCTCCTTACCTTGCCAGGGGTGGAGACCAGGAGACCTCAAGCAGCCCATTCTCAGGCAGCAGTGAGAGTCAGAATCGGGCTGGCTTGAGTGTGAGCATCAGGATGACACTATCTATTCAGGGAAAATGTCTCTTTCTTTCCTTTCTTTCTTTCTTTCCTCTTTCCTTCTTTCTTTTTTCTTTCTCTCTCTCTTTCCCCTCTCCCTCCCACTCTTTCTCTTTCTCCCTTTCTCTCTCTTTCTTTCCCTCCTTCCTCCCTCCCTCTTTCCTTCCTTCCTTCCTTCTTCCCTCCCTCCCTCCCTCCTTCCTGCTTTCTTTCTTTCTCTTTTTTATTTCTATTTCTCCTCTCTGTCTTTCTCTCCCACCTGTTCTTTCTCTTTCTCTCCTTCCTCCCTCCCTATTTCCTTCCTTCCTTTCTTTCTCTCTCTTTCCCTCCCACCCTTTCTGTCTCTTTCTCCCTTTCTCTCTCTCTTTTTTCTCTTTCTCTCCCTCCTTCCTCCTTCCCTCTCTCCCTCTCCTTCCTTCCTTCCCTGCTTCCTTCCTTCCCTCCTTCCTTCCTTCCTTCCTTCCTTCCTTCCTTCCTTCCTTCCCCCTCCTTTCTTTCTCTTTCAATGGGGTCTCACTATATTGCCCAGGTTGCAGTGCAGTGGCTATTGACAGATTCACAGGCACAATACCGCCTCCAACTCCTGGGCTCAAGCAATCCTCTTGCCTCAGCCTCCTGAGTAGCTAGGATGACAGGCATGTAGCACTGCGCCTAGCTTCAGGGAAAATTTCTATTCCTAGTCTTGGTTTTCCACTCAAGGTGGCCTGAAAGTCTCCCAAAATCAAAAGTTATTTTAACAAAAGTACCAGCTTTAAGAGGAATGAGTGCTGTAGATCATCACGATGCTTGAGAAAGAATCACCTTGGGAACAGTGGGAGACAAAGCTTGGAAGCCCTGGCTCAGGGTTAAGATGAAGAGTAATTCCAATAGAACTGACATTCAGACTTATGCTACAATCAGGGTAGGGGTTAGGGTTGGACTCGGGTCTGATTGGGTTGTTGGAGCAAGGCTAAATTCAGCCTGTTTGGCTTGGGTGGAATTTACGGTAGGGCTAGAGTTGGATTTTGAGAACTTTGAGGCTGAGTAGAAAGAGTAGGTGCTTGAGGGGACCTGGGTTTGAATCTAGGCTGGTCCTTCAGCACGTCTTCTGTTTTCTTGAACTCTGATTTCTCACTGGGGCTGGGGATGGTTGTAAATCCTGGCTAGAGCCTGGCTGGGAGATGTGGGGTTCATGGGATGAAGTGCGGGTGGAGAGAGGAAGTGGTTGCAGGTGATGACCACTGAGGTTGGGATTCAGTTTGCACCAGAGTGGCTGTTAGAACTGGGGGTGCTGCCCCATGTTCTCACTCATAGGTGGGTGTTGAACAATGAGAACATGTGAACTCAGGGAGAGGAGCATCACACACTGGGGGCAGTTGTGGGGGGGGTAGGGGAGGGACAGCAGGGGTTGGGGAGGGTGGGGGGGTGGAAAGGGAAAACATGGGGAGAAATGCTGGATATAGCATACACCTAAAGTAAAATTAAAAAAAAAAACTTAGTAGAACTCCTCACTACCTAATACTATAATGCTGCATTAGTAATACTATTCTATATAACTAGGAGTAGGTATAGTATTTTAATCTTTAAAAAGAAAAAACTTTTAAAATAAATTAAGTAAATTAAAAATAAAAAGAACTGGGGGTGCTGGAGCCGGAGTTGTTGTTAGGGTTAGTGGGGACAGGATTGGAACTGAGACTGGGTTTAGCCTTAGCACTGAGTCTGGGGAGAGGGCTGTGGTGTATGTTTTGATGAAGTTGGGATTTGGGGCCGGGGTTGGAAAGTGTTGGATAGTACTAAAGTTGAATTTGGGGAGTCACGGTTGGAACTGATGTGGACCTTAGGTTTCTGGAGATGTCTGGGCTTTAAGGCTGGGATTACACTTGGCATTTAGGGTTGGGGTTTGAGGTTGGAGTTTAGGGGTAAGACTTTGTTGTCATCTCTCCGTTAGAAAAATGACTGGGGTCAAGGCAGGATTTAGTTTTAGGTTAAGGATTGGAAGGGCTAATGGTGGCCTCAGCTCTGGTGGTTGGGTTTTATGTTAGGGTGGATGTTGAGGTCACATCAGGGTGGCACGCCAGTCCAACCGTCTCTTCCTTCCCTCCCCATCCTAGCCCCCTTTCATCCAGCTGACACCCACAACGAGGTTTGCTTTGATGGCTTTGGTGATGGTATTGGCCGCTACAACATCTTCACCTATCTGCGTGCAGGCGGTGGGTGCTATTGCTACCAGAAGGTGGGCTACTGGGCAGAAGGCTTGACTCTGGACACCAGCCTCATCCCATGGGCCTCACCCTCAGCCGGCCCCCTGCCTGCCTCTCGCTGCAGTGAGCCCTGTCTCCAGAATGAGGTGAAGAGTGTGCAGCCGGGCGAGGTCTGCTGCTGGCTCTGCATCCCGTGCCAGCCCTATGAGTACCGATTAGATGAGGTCACCTGTGCCAGTTGTGGCCTGGGCTACTGGCCCAATGCCAGCCTGACTGGCTGCTGCGAACTGCCCCAGGAGTACATCTGCTGGGGCGATGCCTGGGCCATGGGTCCTGTCACCATCGCCTGCCTGGGTGCCCTGGCCACCCTCTTAGTGCTGGGTGTCTTCGTGCGGCACAATGCCACCCCAGTGGTCAAGGCCTCAGGTCGGGAGCTCTGCCACATCCTGCTGGGTGGTGTTTTCCTCTGCTACCGCATGACCTTCATCTTCATTGCCAAGCCATCCACGGCAGTGTGTACCTTATGGCGTCTCGGTTTGGGCACTGCCTTCTCTGTCTGCTACTCAGCCCTGCTCACCAAGACCAACCGCATTGCACGCATCTTTGGTGGGGCCCGGGAGGGTGCTCTGCGGCCACGCTTCATCAGTCCTGCCTCACAGGTGGCCATCTGCCTGGCGCTTATCTCGGGCCAGCCGCTCATTGTGGTCGCCTGGCTGGTGGTGGAGGCGCCGGGCACAGGCAAGGAGACCGCTCCCGAACGGCGGGAGGTGGTGACGCTGCGCTGCAACCACCGCGATGCAAGTATGCTGGGCTCACTGGCCTACACCGTGCTTCTCATCGCGCTCTGCACGCTTTATGCCTTCAAGACTCGCAAGTGCCCCGAAAACTTCAATGAGGCCAAGTTCATTGGCTTCACCATGTACACCACCTGCATCATCTGGCTGGAATTCCTGCCCATCTTCTACGTCACCTCCAGTGACTACCGGGTGAGCTACCTGCCATAGAGGTGGAGGGAGGTGGGACACCAGACCCTCTGTTTCCTGGTATCTTATTTACTAGGTATCTTATTTATCTTGCTACTGGTAGCTCTGGGGCTCCAAGAGGTTAAATGGCCACTCAGGGGACAGCAGCTTGTGTGGATCTCAAGGGGAAGGTGGGAGGGCTGAATAGGGCCTAGGGAAATGCCCAGGGAGATGGGGAACTCGAATTAGAGAGAGCTGAGATTTCAGGACGTGCATGTCATCCTCTATCCTGGGAGGAGATGGGGGGCAGAAATATGTTCAGATGAACAGGGTTCTGCCCTGCTCCACTGAGGGGTTCTTCAAGCAGACAAATAGTATTATAATGATTACAAGACTGATCATCAGTTATGCTTTTGCAAAAAACAGCTACAAAGGACTAACTCAGTGGACCAACCTTTGTTTCTTCATTATCTCTACCTGGATTCTGGCCTTTTATTTTCTCTTTCTACTAATTCTAATTCTGCTTCTGCTTCCTCATTTCTTCCCCAGTTAGAACTTTACTTACCTAAACTACCTGTTGTCACCTTCTCAGAGCCACTAAGCAGCAGTTTGAGGTTGACAATTGAAGAATTAGGATTAGAAAAAAGAAACACGAATGAACTTTTTATGTTTCATTATCAGGGGTTTGTAATGCAGGTAAAAAGACCTTTTTCAGAGTTAAGATTTTTGATACAAAAAATAAGCTATTTTAATATTTATAACTTTGACTAGTAGAATTTTTGTATAAAAACATTTGTTTGGATGTCTTTGTTAGCTTTGAGTGGACACTGGAAAAGCCTCTTCTAACAGGTTCTATGTCTTTCTGGATACGCTTTTCAGTATTCTTATTCCGCTAGACAGTGATAAGAGGGAAGCATTGGTGGTTCAGTGGTAGAATTCTCGCTTCCCACGCGGGAGACCCGGGTTCAATTCCCAGCCAATGCAGTTGGGCTTTCGAGCTTCACTTCCCTTATGGCTGCCTTAACCCTTCTGCCCTGCAAAATTATACCGCATACTCTAATAGTGCATTTAGAGGCTTCATCACCGAAAGGTAAACTGACCAAGGTCGTGCCAAAAGACATTCCGGGGACTAACCTGGGACCCCTGCAGTCGTTGGACTCCACAAACCATTTAGCAAAGTGGCAAATACGAAGTATTTCTGGCGAGTCACTGCAGTTTTGATATTGGTACCTGTTACCTTTATCTATTTTCTGGGCGGATCCCTGCAAACCCAAGAAACCATCAGGTTCCTGATTCGCGGGCTGGACCTTGGGCTTCCCGCTGAGCCACAATGCTGAGGATCAAGAAATGATGCTCAGGGAAGGAGAGAAGCTGTGGGTGGGGCAGTCACCTCAGAGGTCCAAGAGGCTCAGCGGCCCAAAGAAAGAAGTGTGTGGGGAAGAATCTACGTGGAGCTGCGGGGAGCTGCGGAGACTGGTACTAGTGCAGGGGACCCTGGGGGCTGTACCCCAGACACCGAGAACCGAACTTGCTAACATTGTCAGCTACCGGGGCCTCCAAGTGTTTTGTGGGCCCATGGTGTTCCGGGAGGGGTTCCGGAATCTGTGTCTGGAAATATGTGTCAACAGGTTTTGGCCTGAAATTTGGCCTGGCATGGGGGCTTGGGAGGCTGAGGCGGACGGATGGCTTGAGGTCAAGAGTTCAAGACCAGCCTGGCTAACACGGTGAAACCACATTTCTACTAAAAATACAAAAACTAGCCGAGTGTAGTAGTGTGCACTGGTTATTCCAGCTACTTGAGGCTGAAGCAGGAGAATCGCTTGAACCCAGCAGGTGGAGGTTGCAGTGAGCCAAGATGGGGCCACTGCACCCAGCCTGGGCAACAGAGTGAGCCTCTGTCTCAAAAAAATAGAAAAGATGTTGGCCCGAAAATTACATTTATATTTGTTTTTAAATTTATTATTATTATTTTTTTAAAGAGACAGGGTCTCACTGTTGCCCGGCTGCATTGCAGTGACGCGCTCCTAGCTCACTGCTGTCTGGAACTCCTGGGCTCCAGTGATCCTCCCACCTCAGCCTTTGGAGTAGCTGAGATTACAGCTAAACCACCATGCCTGGTCCGAGAAATATATTTGTAATACAGGAAAGCAAAGAACAGAACCTGGGAACTGTTTATCTTGTTGTGTTGTGAGGATGTTACTGTGTTAGAGACACAACAAATGACAGCAGGTGATGAATTTCCTTCCAAAGAGTTTTGGAAGATTTTTTCCCCATTTAACAATTGCTTAAAATCTAGGACGAGCCACATTTAGGGAATTTTTTTTGTCTTTCTGTTTCAAAAATGACCTTCAATTCATTCAGTATCAAAAGTTTTCGGAGTGTGACTGCCTCTCTACACGTTGCGTATAAGACAATGGTGATAGTAGGTTGGAACTAACTGGCTTGTTTTCTTTTTGTATTTTAAAACTCTTTGGGGATCTCTGACTTTCGTGAAGAAATTCTGAGCTGCAATACATAGTTGCTTTTTGTTTTTGTTTTAGAGATGGGGTTGCTGCTTTCTCACTCAGGCTGGAGAGCAGTGGTGTGATCACGGCTCACTGCAGCTGGCATTACAGGTGTGAGCCATGGAGCCTGGCCCATAATGTCTTCTTTTATTTAGCTCTAAATAATGATCAGATGTTAGGGAAGAAAAACCTAGAAGTCCTGATTCATGAAAAGGAAATTGAGGATTACTTATGCCATGAAGCAAACACGTTCAGACTCTAGAGTCCCAAAAATATCGTATGTTTTTGCTGAAGAGTGTTTTGACTCTATTCCTTATCTTCTCATGAGTCAGGAAGCGCATCCACCATAGTCAGGTTTCTTCTTTTACTGCAGTGAAGAAGCTGGAAGAAAGGCAGGTTGTGGGGGAAGATCCCACAGGCACAAGCAGGGGGAGAATTGTATTGGGAAGATTGGTTGAGACAAAAGAAGAGAAGCTGTGGACTGTGAAGCAATGGGAAAAAACTGATTTTTAAAGCAGATCATTTCCTTTTTAACAGGAGCTTTTTTGAAGTTCTTCAGGATAAATCCGTATCTGTTTGTATGTTTGTGTGCATGTGCCTGTGTGTGTGTGAGTTTTCATTGTGGTAAAAGATACACAGCAGATCCTTTAGGAACGGTTTATGTCCCCTCACCAGGTAAAACACCACAACCAGCTGAGGAGCTTGCTGAAGGCAGAATATGGAATGCAATGAGAGCAGGTGGTTGGTTACAAATAGCAGCTGCTGCCAGGAGGCCAGTTGCAGAAATAGGAATGTAGCAGTTATGAGTACTTCTTCCTTATGTTTTTATACATATGAAATCTTTGTTTTCTTTGCTCTTTATCACCTTACTTGTCTAAAATAAGATGTACCAATATTATACCTTAGTACATCTATAATTTACAAGAGACCATGACGAACAATAAATATATCAACGGAGATTTTGGGTCTTCTTCTCCACTTATATATAGGATAAATGTTAGGCAGAAAAAATAACTTTGCTATTGTTTCTACTTGGATGCCAAGTAGACAAAAGGTGAGTGGATAATTAGGCCCTTCCAGGGAGCCTCTCTGTCTTAGATACGTTAGCATGAACAAGCAGAAATTTTCCTCTAAAGGAGAGGCACACTTCCCTGGGTGGGCTCAAACCACCAACCTTTGGGTTACCAGCCCAACGCACTAATCCATCGCGCCACAGAGATAGCAATCCTTATGTTGTGTGATCTCAACAAGAAGCAAATACTATTCAGTAAGCCTAACCTGTAGAGACTTCGGCCTTGCTCCCACCTGCAAACAATAGCAAAGTTATTTTTTCTGCTTAACATTTATCCTGCTTCAGAAGCCAGCGCCCCTTGAGATGCCTGGGTCTGTGACCCTCGGTGCCTGAGCCTCGTGGGGCGGCTTGCACTCCCCTCGCCAGATCGGTGCAGTGGGTGCGGTCAGTGCAATTGTGCAGGTGGTGGGAAAGGAGGCAGGAAACCGACTGTGACAGAAGGAGAAACTTGAAAAAGTGACAGAGGCTGGGCGTGGTGGCTCACGCCTGTAATCCCAGCACTTTGGGAGCCGAGGGGGGCGGATCACAAGATCAGGAGATCGAGACCATCCTGGACAACGTGGTGAAACCCCGTCTCTACTAAAAATACAAAAATTACCTGGGCGTGGTGGCGCGCGCCTATAGTCCCAGCTGTTCGGGAGGCTGAGGCAGGAGAATCACTTGAATCCAGGAGGCAGAGGTTGCTTGCAGTGAGCCGAGATCCTGCCACTGCACTCCAGCCGGAGACAGAGCATGACTCCGTCAAAAAAAAAAAAAAAAAAAAAAAGGAGCGAAAGAAGGCAGAGGTGTAGATGAGTCAAGGAGAACTCCAGGAGGCTTGCTGTAGAGGCAGTGGCCGGATCCTGAGAGGCGAGATGTTTTGAAGTTTTGTAGCAGAATGACGCGATAGAAACGGGGAAGCGCCGGTGACTCAAGCCTGTAATCCCAGCATTTTGGGAGGCCGGGGCGGGTGGATCACGAGGTCAAGAGATCGAGACCATCCTGGTCAACATGGTGAAACCCCGTCTCTACTACAAATACAAAAAAAAAAAAAAAATAGCTGGGCATGGTGGCGCGTGCCTGTAATCCCAGCTACTAGGCAGGCTGAGGCAGGAGAATTGCCTGAACCCAGGAGGCGGAGGTTGCGGTGAGCCGAGATCGCGCCATTGCACTCCAGCCTGGGTAACAAGAACGAAACTTTTTTTTTTTTGAGACGGAGTTTCGCTCTTGTTACCCAGGCTGGAGTGCAATGGCGCGATCTCAGCTCACTGCAACCTCCGCCTCCCGGCTTCAGGCAATTCTCCTGCCTCAGCCTCCCGAGTAGCTGGGATTACAGGCACGCGCCACCATGCCCAGCTATTTTTTTTTTTTTTTTTTGTATTTGTAGTAAAGACGGGTTTTCACCATGTTGACCAGGATGGTCTCGATCTCTTGACCTCGTGATCCATCCGCCTTGGCCTCCCAAAGTGCTGGCTTTACAGGCTTGAGCCACCGCGCCCGGCCGAGTAAAACTTTGTCTCAAAAAAAAAAAAAAAAAAAAGAAACGGAGAAGCGCATGAAAGAAAAGCAGGAAAATCTGCAGCCGTCCAGGAATAAAGCAGAGAAAACAGTGTGTGTTTTCACATCAAAAACTGTAAGAAGTGCGATGGTTGTCGGCAGGCTTTGAGGTCGAGCAGTGGTTAATACCTGTGGTTGTGGTTGCCGCAGCCTCGGTTCTAATCCAAGTCACGGTAGTGTTTTCTGCCCTGCGATTGTGACTGATAGACCTGCCGTTTTGTTTGCCTTTAATCCCAGCAATCTCCAGAGAGCAGGGTAACCCGCTGGCCCGGAGCGCACCGCGGTCAGAAGAGTTCAGCCCTCAGCGCATAAACTAGAGGCGTCCCGGCCAAAAGGAAAACGTGGACGTGCTCTTTGTCTCACAATCCCATAGGCGAAGATGCCGCCTCTCAAGGACTCTTTCCCTATAGCTTCCGCTGATGAAATAATACGGTTATAGTCTTTTCTGGGAGAGAAAATGGCTCTATCAGTGGGACTTTTTAAAAACACAAAACGAGAACGAGCTTTTAATGAGTTTACAATAAAATCTACAGTAGTTGCCACGACTACACCGGCTCGCCTCCAGTCCCTGCCCACTAATATTTATGAGAACAGTCAATTATTATTATTATTTGAGATGTAGTCTTGTTCTGTCACCCAGGCTGGAGTGCAGTGGCTCAGTCTCTGCTCACTGTAACCTTCGTTTCCCAGGTTCAAGCAATGAGAACAGCAAGTTATTAAACTACAGCTCACATAAAGTGCACAGGTCTTTAGTGCAGCTTGTTTAATTTTGATGAATGTAATCACCATCCAGCTAAAGTTAAAATTGTCATCATCTGAGAAAGGCCTGCAGCGCTCCTTTCCAGGCAATTCCCACCCTGTGTCCTCTTAGTTAAGAACTATTCTGATGTCTATGCCATAGGTTACAATTGCCTGTTCTTAAGATTCACATGAGTGAATGTATACATCTTTGGTATTTGGCCTTTATTCTGTAGTTATGTTCATTATCCTCATGAGATCTATTCACATAGTATCATAGATCACTTCTGAATTTTGGTTTTGGTGTTATTGAAGTCTTGTGATGAATATTCTTTTTTTTTTTTTTTTTGAGACAGTCTCTTTTGCCAGGCGCCAGGCTGGAGAGCAGTGGTGTGATCTCTGCTCACTGCAACCTCTACCACCCGGCTTCAAGCAGTTCTCCTGCCTCAGCCTTCTGAGTAGCTGAGACTACAGGCCTGCACCACCACGCTCGACTAATATTTGTGTTTTAATAGAAACAGGGTTTCGCTATGTTGGCCAGGATGGTCTCAATCTCTTGACCTCGTGATCCACATAACAGTCTTTTGTGCACTTGAGATTCATGGAAGTACTTCAATTGCTGGGTCATGACCCGATTATAAGTTGAACGTTAGTATACATTGTCAGTCTTCTAGAATGGTTTTTCACCAGCAATGACAGCTGAAGTGGCACCAAATTCTTGTCAGCAATTGGTGTACTAACTGCGAAATGTAGCTATGCTCTCAGACCAGTCTGGCCAACATGGTGAAATCCTGTCTCTACTGAAAATAAAAAAATTAGCCAGGCATGGTGGCATGCACCTGTAGTCCCAGCTACTCAGGTGGGGGAGATGGCAGTGAGTGGAGGTCGCGCCATTGCACTCCAGCTTGGGTGATAGAGTGAGAGCCTGTGTTGGGGGGAGAAAAAGTAGCCACACACTGGTGAGTGTTATCTCAATGTAGAATTAATTTAATACCTGCCTAATGAGTGATACTATCAAGCATATTTTCTTATGGCTTCCAACATATAAGAAATTGTCCTTTGTGAAAGCCTATTCGAATATTTTGTCTGATTCTATTGGCTTAGCTCTCTATTACTGATCTATGGAAGTTCTCTTATATATTCAGGAATTGAGTCATGTTTCAAATAAATACATTGCAAATGAATTTTCCCAGTCTGTGGCTTGACTGACAACTGAAAATTGTCAACTGAAAAATTACACAATTTATAAACTTAGAAAGGAGATTTTATATTTTATAAAGGGTTCAAGCATGCATGGTGGCCATTCTGACAGACTGGGAGGTGTACCCTCCTTCTGAAACCGGAAAGGTGGGTTTCCAGGGAGGGGAGAGTGGAACAAGTATTTATGTTGATCTGACTGGCCACATATACATATTCAACAGGGAATAGGAGAGCTCTGAATATTCATTCAGGGGTCCTGCTGCATGCAGGCTGAAGAAACATGCCTGCTACATGCAACCCATGTTGACTTTGGGGTGGAGACAACATTTAAATACATTATAATTAGGCCTCATGCTTCAAAAGGTGAAGGAGGGACACAAAGGCAATCAGGTGCACAGCCTCTGTACACTGTCCAGAACCGTCCACAGCCAGAGGTCTCTTATCAAGAGAAAGTGACTGAAATCGGTCTCTTGTCCAAGTCAAGCTGTAGTTATGGCTTGTATGTGTGTGTGGGGCTCAGTCACTGTGTGGTACTGGGTGAGCTGTGAGGGCTTCAGCATTGCTTATCTCAAGGCCAGAGCTGGTTTAGGTGCTAGAGAAAAAAATGAAGAAGAAAAATCCCTGTGGAATTAGAACACAGTTTATGCTTCAAGTTGAGGGTGCATGGCTTAACCTTGCCTGGCGTGGCCTCACATCTTTTGTATAATGTGGTATCTTCCTGCTGTACAGAGTCTGCTCTGACAGTCTTATGGTCTCTATTTTAACATTAGTACTGCTCAGTTGTGTCTAAACCACAAAAGGGAGAGAGTCTAAGGACAGGTGTCTGACCTTCCAAATACTGGCCAGGAACTCAGTACCTAAGACTTCTCTGGGGTCTGCTTGGTGAAGAAGGGCTCTGTCTAGTTGGTTGGGTGGCTTCGGAGTTTACTTTTATTTCTCAAAGCATTTAATTTTGATGAAATTTTGCCTTATATTTTCTTTATTTTTAAAGCTTATGTTCTATAAGAAATCTTTCTACTCAGGATACTGGATGTATTCTTTTAATTTTATCTCTCTAGGAGTTCTGGAGTTCTAGTTTTAATTTTCAAATTGATGACCTCTAAAATTCTACTTCTAACCAAAACATGCTTGGGGGTTACCAAAAACAGTTTCAAAAATCTTCCATAAATGGTCCTTAAAGAGTTTACTCGGATCCTGGGCTGCAGGGCACCGTGGCTTCAGTGCACCTCTGCCCTTAAGACTATTCAGAAACTGTCTCTGTGAGGCCAAGAGGCTGTGTGAAGATCAGCAGTTTAGGGCTCGCCTGCAGCTTGCAGTCAGGCGGCAGCTGTGTTCTGGATCTCGTGGGCGCCTGCATGCGCACCTCTCCGGGAAATTTCTACCTGAATTCTTAAGGCATTTCCAGTGGCTTAGCTATCTCTTTCTTTTGCTTACTTCCACACACATGCCACCAAATCCTGCACTCCAAGCTTCTCCTCCTGCACCCTGGACTCCCAACCTCCAGTTAGACCAGCTGCATCTTCCTGCACCTGCCTGAAGCTCCATCAGGCCATGGTGCCTCCCACAGCAAGCAGGCCAGGCAGAATCCGGATTCTTATTGCACTTATGAGGAGGGTGGCCAGGCGGTGTGCAGGATGCGGGTGGGAGGGGTAAGGTTGAGGGCAGGAGTACACTGAGGGCTTCTTTGCCCTCACTGGCCCAGGTGCTGCCCACTCTCTGGTTGTCTGCCTTTAGCCCTGCATGGGAAATCAGGTCTGCACCTTGATCTTCCTGACTTGTCATTTTGTGAGGAGCCTGAAGGGATGAGCCGTTGCTCTTGTTCCACACATTCTGTCCAAAAGGTGCCATCCTCTCTACTTGCTCTAGGGCCTGCCCATTGAGCTCTGGCGCTCAGGCTGGGATGCTGCCCAGTATAGAGGCTCTGCAGCCTCTGTTCTGACTGTCCCACACAAGCAAGACAAAGGCCACAGGGCACTCTGTGGTGGGACAGCATTCAGAGGCATGGGCCAAAGGCCTCTCTTTCCACAGTCCCTTTGCAGACCTTGTGGAAGAGGCATCCCTTTGAGGAGCAATGTGGCCCAAGGCCTGGCTTCACATGCAGGCTCTTGGGTCCAGTGGGTCCTCCCTGTGCCTGGTATAGCCAACTGCTCCACGCATCTCACCTGATTTTTCCTCCTCCACCACCTGAGCTCCTCCTCCACCCCTTGCTCTGCTGTCCTTAGGACAGCAAGATCCCAGGCCCTTGGTAAAGCCCTATCCCCAGTGTTGGGGGAAAAACTTGGGTCCAGGTCATTTAATCCCAGAAGAACAGAGAACCTGAAGCAGGAAAAAATCCTTTCCCTTGTGGGGGTCTCTTAGCACAGCCCATCCAGGGTCCTGGGTCAGGGTCCAGATATCCTCTACCTTCCTTAAGGACCTGGGTTTTCAGGCCTCTGTGGTTGGTCAACA